CTGCGCTCCGCTCCTGTTAGTATCATGGCTGCCGAGCGTTGGACTAGCTGGAGCTTCCGAGCCGTCTTCAAATAAATAAATAAATAAATAAATAAATAAATAAATAACCTATACTGTTCAGGTGGTATGGGTACAACTATCATATTTTGGTACATATCAAGGAATGTCAAAGCATGACCTGTAGACATATGGATTTTTCTTCCAGACACCAGATTAGCAAAGTGATATGATGTGAGAACTGGAACATCAATAATTATTAGTCATAGATTAATTATCCATATTTAATTTTAAAATATGCTAATAAATGCCAATTGCTGGAGGGCAACGGTTAACCTCTATTGCCCTTACAACATAGTTTGGGAACTCTAAGAATCTAGGAGTGAAATAAAATTGTTGTACTTAGTTTGTATCTATAAGCATCGTTTACTTTGAGTTTTGATTTAGTGTGGTTCTTGTATAGTTTTGCCCTACACCACAGAATCTTATACAAAACACAGAATTCAGCAATGGTCTATTAGCTATTTTCAGGGAAATTCATTTGCATGCTTTATCCACAGTTTAGAAACATTTTTGGAAAATCCCCAATATGTTCAAGGAAAGAGGAATAGACATAGCATTAGCTATTTCTATTACATTTACCAATGCAATGCAGGATTTTAGCTACCATTTTTGGGAAAGGTTGATTGCCTGGAAGAAGCTAGCCTTTGTATAAGATGGATTGCAGGTGTTTTTTATTATTATTCATTCAGTCGCTTCTGACTCTTTGTGACCTCATGGACCAGAGCTCCTTGTCGGCTGTGGCCACCCCCAGCTCCTTCAAGGTCAAGCAGTCACTTCAAAGATACCATCCATCTATCTCGTCCTTGGTCTGCCCCTCTTCCTTTTTCCTTCCATTTTTTTCCCAGCATCATTATCTTCTCCACATCTGGGGCTAGTTGAACTTACCCTCTGTTCCTCCCCAGTAGCATTTTGACCATCTTTCCAACCTGGGAGTGTTGGGGTTCAGCCACCTCCGTGTGAAACTGAGCCTCAATCTCTGTGTGAACCTGATTCTCTGAGTGTATTTCCTGATGCAACTGAGCAAGCCACTGAACATGTATCTTTCCCTGATAGTGTTGAAACCCTTGATGCTGAAGTCAGTGGCGGGGAAAGTGAAACTGAACAGCCTGATGAGAATGTTTTGGAATCAGGCCGTGATAGCTCTCCAGAGGGAATCACACCTGGGTTTTTTAATGAGGACCGAAGGGAACAGATTTGGAAAAACAGGAGTGAATCACGGTTTCTACGAAGGTCAAATGGATTACGGGAGAGGGAGGCTTCAAAGTCTGGAGGCGTTTCAAGAAATAGTTTCTTTGGTTTAAGGGGCCTCCCCCCGGTTGTCTCATTAGATCAAGCAACGTTTTAGACTGAGGCAGCACCTTGGCAGTTTTCCTGCGTTCCATGGCCTGCATTCCCAGAGGCTTCTAGTTTTCAAGTATGGTTAGTGATGCTAACAGGTTCCTGGTGTCTGTATTGTTGTTTTTGGAATTTTGCTCAAGTTCAAAGATTTTTCCTGACTGCTGAGTTTCTACTGTGGCTTTTTGACTTTGCATTTACTTTTCTTTTGTAACCATTTTTCATCAATAAAAAAGGATTGTTTTTCTCACAGTCCAGTGTGGTGGATTGAATCTTATGGTCTCGTTTCCTGATCTGGGATGCAACAGGGAGTCCCATCTTCCAATGGTATATTGACATATCTCTGGTTGTACAGACCCATTTAGTTTTCATGGCAAGAATACTGGGGTGGATTGCCATTACCTTCTTCAGGGATCGTATTTGGTCTGATCTCTCTGCCATGACCTTTCTGTCTTTGGTATCCCTTCACAGTTTCACTCATGGCATCATCGAGGTGCTCAAGCTCCAGCACCACGACAAGGCAACGATTCTTTGCAGGAGATTGCAGGTATAACTCAACATAAAGTACTTGTTGGAGTTCAGCCTGTGATTGTGTTTCAGGATCAGGGTGCTTTGGATATAGGGAATGGTGTTAATGAGGTTCAAGATGAGTTTCAAGATAGCAGTGATATTGATGCAGAGAATGACCAGGAGATCCCATGTTTCCCATGATAATGTCCATGAGGGGTGTGGGGATGCACCTGCAGAAATTAATGAGCAAATAGATGACAAGCCAAGAGAGAAAATAGATAATGAGCCAAGAGATAGATGAGAAGAGATCAGTCAAGAGATAGATGAGAAGAGATTGGGGTTGGAGGACATCCAACCCCAAATTGGGAAAGAAGTCGTCCAGGAATACCTGGCCGCTCTTAATGAGTTCAAGTCCCCAGGGCCAGATCAACTACACCCCAGAGTATTGAAGGAACTAGCGGAAGTCATTTCGGAACCATTGGCAACCATCTTTGAGAGTTCTTGGAGAACGGGAGAAGTTCCAGCAGATTGGAGGAGGGCCAATGTGGTCCCAATCTTCAAGAAGGGAAAAAAGGATGACCCAAACAACTACCGTCCGGTCAGCCTCACGTCTATATCGGGCAAGATTCTGGAAAAGATTGTTAAGGAAATGGTCTGCAAACACTTAGAAACAAATGCGGTCATTGCTAATAGTCAACATGGATTTATGAAAAACAAGTCATGCCAGACTCATCTGATCTCTTTTTCGATAGAGTTACAAGCTGGGTAGGTGCGGGAAATGACGTGGATGGAGCATACCTGGATTTCAGTAAGGCCTTCGACAAGGTCCTCCATGACCTTCTGGCAAGGAAACAAGTCCAATGTGGGCTAGGCAAAACTATGGTGAGGTGGATCTGTAATTGGTTAAATGGACGAACCCAGAGGGTTGGGTAGATGCAGGGAATGCCGTGGATGTAGCGTACCTGGATTTCAGTAAGGCCTTCGACAAGGTCCCCCATGACCTTCTGGCAAGGAAACTAGTCCAATGTGGGCTAGGCAAAACTACGGTGAGGTGGATCTGTAATTGGTTAAGTGGACGAACACAGAGAGTGCTCACTAATGCTTCCTCTTCATCTTGGAAAGAAGTGACAAGTGGAGTGCCGTAGGGTTCCGTCCTGGGCCCGGTCCTGTTCAACATCTTTATTAATGACTTAGATGAAGGGCTAGAAGGCATGATCATCAAGTTTGCAGACGACACCAAATTGGCAGGGATAGCCAATAGTCCAGAGGACAGGAGCAGAATTCAAAACGATCTTGACAGATTAGAGAGATGGGCCAAAACTAACAAAATGAAGTTCAACAGTGACAAATGCAAGATACTCCACTTAGGCAGAAAAACGAAATGCAAAGATACAGAATGGGGGACAATGCCTGGCTGAGAGCAGTACGTGTGAAAAAGATCTTGGAGTCCTCGTGGACAACAAGTTAAACATGAGCCAACAATGTGATGTGGCGGCAAAAAAAGCCAATGGGATTTTGGTCTGCATCAATAGGAGCATAGTGTCTAGATCTAGGGAAGTCATGCTACCCCTCTATTCTGCTTTGGTTAGACCACACCTGGAATATTGTGTCCAATTCTGGGCACCACAATTCAAGAGAGATATTGACAAGCTGGAATGTGTCCAGAGGAGAGCGACTAAAATGATCAAGGGTCTGGAGAACAAGCCCTATGAGGAGCGGCTTAGGGAACTGGGCATGTTTAGCCTGAAGAAGAGAAGGCTGAGAGGAGATATGATAGCCATGTATAAATATGTGAGAGGAAGCCACAGGGAGGAGGGAGCAAGCTTGTTTTCTGCTTCCCTGGAGACTAGGACGCGGAACAATGGCTTCAAACTACAAGAGAGGAGATTCCATCTGAACATGAGGAAGAACTTCCTGACTGTGAAGGCCGTTCAGCAGTGGAACTCTCTGCCCCAGTGTGGTGGAGGCTCCTGCTTTGGAAGCTTTTAAGCAGAGGCTGGATGGCCATCTGTCAGGGGTGATTTGAATGCAATATTCCTGCTTCTTGGCAGAATGGGGTTGGACTGGATGGCCCATGGGTCTCTTCCAACTCTTTGATTCTATGATTCTATGATTCTATGAAATGAAGCAAGGGAAAGAAGGAGGAAAGGGAGGGAGGGAGGAAAAGAAGGAAAGGAAGGATGGACAGGAAGGAAGGGAAGGAGGGAAAGAAGGAAAGGAAGGAGAAGGAAGGAAGAAAAGGAAAGAAAGGGAGGAAAGAAGTGTGGGGAGGGAGAGAAGGAAGGTCCTTCATTCAAGCACCGTGGACCTTCCTCCTCCCCCTCCCCTTCTTCCTTGCATGGATGCTCCGTTGCTGCTGCCATTGCTGCTGCTTTCCCAACAGGGAGTGAGGGTGTGTGTGTGTGCCACGCGGGGGGGTGAGGGGGCGTGTGTGTGTGTGTGTGTGCCGGAAGGAAGGGGGCGTGTCTTACCGGCATGAGTGTGTGTGTGTGTGTGGCGGAAGGTGTGTATGGGCGGCGGGGGGAGGAGTGAAGGTGCGTTGTGTGTGTGTGTGTGTGTGTTTGCGACGGGGAGGAGTGAGTCAGGGAGGGAAGGGGTGGGGGGGAAGGAAGGGGGCGTGTCTTACCGGTGAGTGTGTGTGTGTGGTGTGTGTGTGGGCGGCGGGGGGAGGAGTGAAGGTGCGTTGTGTGTGTGTGTGTGGACGCGGCGTGACCAGGGTAAGATGAAGGAGGGGGAGGAGGGATGGTTTTGACAGGGCGGGAAACAGCGTGGCGGGGCTTGGAGTGGGCGTGGCTTCCGCGGAGGGAACGTTGGCCGGCAGGCCGTGTGCGCGCGCCAGGGAACTTGCGGCTGGGTGCCATTGCACATGCTCAGTTGTTTTGTCGTTTTGTGAGTGTGTTGTTGTGTTGTTTTTCATTTTGATTCGGATTGTTTGTACCTAGTGGGTTGTGTTATGGGCATGGAAATTTTGGTTAAGTTTCGTTGGGGGGGGGGTTGAGTTTTGCTTCTCCGTTCGACGCCACTTTCATTTATATATATATATATATATATATATATATATATATATATATATTAATGCAATGCTCAGGTGCAGCCACAAGAGGGCGGCATAGAGATAGAAAAGATCAGCCTCATATATATATATATATATGAATGCAATGCCCAGGTGCAGGCACAAGAGGGCAGTATATAATATATTATACTATACTTTATATTATACTAGAAAGAAAGGATCAGTATCTGTCCTACCAATCGGTGGCATCCAGGGGCTGCTTGGATCCTCCCAATCCGCAGTAACATCCGTATCCATTGTAAAATAAGGATGCCAACTTCCCCGTCGCCCGTCGCACCATGTCCGCAAACTGGATCAAGTTGCCGCCGGTGGCTGGAGAAAGAGAAGGGCCTCCCAGTGAACGGGTTTATTTTTATTTTTATTTACTCTTGGGCGAAGTATGCCGAAGTTATTGTGGAACTACAAATCCCAGGCTCCCCGTAGCAAGTCACTTCTCTGTTTTAACAATTTACGTAATTAATATGTAAATAATCATTAGATTGTTATAGATTATTATTATTATTCTACATTATTATTATAATATTTATTTATACCCCATTTTATATCTCCAGAAGGAGACTCAAAGTGGCTTTATATTATACTAGCGGTCCCCTGCCACGCGTTGCTGTGGCCCAGTCTGGTGATATGGAAAATAAAGTACTTATAATATATGCAATGTCTTTATGCTTGTGGGTAAACAGTATTTCTTGATGTTTCTTTGACAGTGTTGACGTAGAGATAGTCTGGTTTGCCTACTCTGGAACATGCAACATATAATTGTCCATCTTTAGGAGTCCCTTTCAAATCTATAATACTGTATCTGTGTGTGTGTGAATCATATCTTCTATCTATCTATATCTATGGCTGGATGGCTCTCTGTCAGGAGGGTTTTGATTACGCTTTCTTGCCCTGGTGAAGGGACAATCTCCAGAAACATAGACTCAAGGGAAAGCTGCATACCAAAACATACATAGACCATACAGTAAGCAAACAGAATCATATACGAAACGAATTACTCGTGGAGGCTGGAAGAAGGTTGCAATTAGTAAACATTATTATTGTGGCGGCTTCCTTGGTGGTGGGAGAGGGTCGTTCTGGATGCCCTCTGGGTCTCCCTCCCAGGTCTGTTGCCCCCAACGAGGCCCTCGAGGCCTGCCTCCCCGCCCCCTCCCAGGGACTATTTTTCCCTCCGCGCCGGGCCTTTCCCTCAGCAAGAGCCTTCCCCGACTCCCTCCAGGCCTAACCTTCTTGATGGCTGGCTGGAAGGCGAAGTCCCCGGCCTCCTTGAGGTCCAGCCAGATCATCGGCATCCGCGGCACGGCCTCCATCCCACCTCAGGCCTTCTCCACCGGCGGGAGAGCAAGCGGGTTGGCGGGACCCGAGGCTGAGTCTGAGGTGGCAGAGGGAGACAGCCGCCACCTCGGACTCAGCCTCAGGTCCCGCCAACCCGCTTGCTCTCCCGCCGGTGGAGAAGGCCTGAGGTGGGATGGAGGCCGTGCCGCGGATGCCAATGATCTGGCTGGACCTCAAGGAGGCCAGGGACTTCACCTTCCAGCCGGCCATCAAGTGAGGTCAGTGCCGGGCCGCTTCTGGAAATAGCCGAGTCCAGCCGGATCTGCCGCCACCACGGCCACCCGCTCACCGGAAGTGCCTCCGGGGCGGATGGGAAATGGAGTTCCAGCGTTGGGAAACATTTTGGCCTACTTCCGCTGTGGGTCAGGGAGAGAGTACTGATTTGGGATGGAAATCTGTTCCTTCATATGGGTGTGTAAAATAATACCTTAATTGTACTGTTGTTATAAGTAATATATATAGAATAATTATAATATAGAAATCTTCAGGGCGTCCTTAGGCGCTCAAAAACGGAGAAAGGGAGGCAGGCAGGTGGCAGTGCGCATGCGGAGGGCAACTTGGGTGCAGGGGAAGCTGGGAAATGGAGTCCTTCCTCCTCATCATATTCCTCCCGAGGCCTCTGCACATGCTCCGTGTTTTTAGGATATTGTGAGTTTGTGTTGTTGCGTATCGGCGTTTGGAGGCTTGTTGGTCATACCTTGGGGGAAGAGGTATTAGCAGGCTAAATTTGGTGAGATTTCGTCCGGTGGTTTCTCCGTTTTTGACCGCCTAATTACAACCTTAAGCTTCTTATATATATAGATTATATTACATTATATCCACATAAATAAAAATGTAATGTTCGTTCGTGCTGCCATCAGAACTCAGAAACCACTGGGGGAATTGACACCAAATGTGGACACAAGACACCTAACAGTCCAATTTCTGTCCTCCACTCAAAAAAATTGATTTTGTCATTTGGGAATTTTGTCATTTGGGAATAGAAGGACTATGATATATTGCATGTTCCAGAGTAGGTAAACCAGACACTCTCCACATCAACACTGACAAGGAAACAATACAAAATACTGTGTACCCATAAGCAGAAAGGAATTACATATATTAGAAACCAACACTTTCTCATTACTTTATTTTCCAGATCACCAGACTGGGCCACAGCAACGCCTGGCAAGGGACAGCTAGTAATAATAATATACTCAGTTCTTGTGGGTTTTTTTCGGGCTATATGGCCATGTTATAGAGGCATTTCTCCTGACGTTTCGCCTGCATCTATGGCAAGCATCCTCAGAGGTGAGGTCATATGCTTGCCATAGATGCAGGCGAAACGTCAGGAGAAATGCCTCTAGAACATGGCCATATAGCCCGAAAAAACCCACAAGAACTGAGTGATTCCAGCCATGAAAGCCTTCGACAATACAATAATAATATAGTTTAAATGTTTATGTCCTGAGATGAAAATTAATTCACAGACAGACTGGAAGGGCTTCATTTCTAAAAGCATACAGTACGGTTACAAGCAAAGTTCCATCTGACAGCTCGTTTCCTCCTAACCTCAAATCCATCACTTTGGTCCTCCCCCTCACGATCCCATTTCAATGGAAACCTTCTCCCTTGCTTCAAGTGAACTACATCATATTATTATTATTATTATTATTAGGTTTTTATTCATTATTATTATACATGTTATCAAAATAATGTTATAAATGGTCATACATTATATTATTATTATAAATTATTATTATTATGTATTATATTGTTATCAATTATATATTCTGTTATTATATTGTCATAAATTATTATTATACATTCTATTATTATTAGATTATTATAAATTAGTATTATTAGATTATTTAGTATTATTTAATTATGGTATATTACTATTATTATACATTATATTATCTTGTTATATATTATTATGAAATATAATATTATGTATATCATTTTAAAATATTATTATTTGTATTGTTATAATGTATTATTATACATGAAATTATTATTTGTTATATTGTTACACATGAATAATATTATTATCAAGCATTTTATTATATTGGCATAAAATATTTTTATTATAAGTTATTATATTGTCATAAAATATTATTGTACATTATTTTATTACATTGTCATAAATTACTATTATTCTACATTGTATTATTTATTATTGTATTTTGAATTGTTATTAATATGGTTATACCATTTGATTCTACAATTATATAGTTACAAAATATTGTTATACATTATTATTATTATTATTATTATTATTGAAGGCTTTCATGGCCGGAATCACTGGGTTGCTGTGAGTCTTCCAGGCTGTCTTGTCATGTTCCAGAAGCATTCTCTTCTGATGTTTCTCCCACATCTATGGCAGGCATCCTCAAAGGTTGTGAGGTCCGTTGGAAACTAGACAAGTGGGGTGTGTGTGTGTATATATATATATATATATATGGAATAATGTCCAGGGTGGGAGAAAGAACTCTTGTCTGTTGGAGACAGATGTGAATGTTGCTTGATTAGCATTGAAGGGCCTTGCAGTTTCAAAGCCTGGCTGCTTCCTGTCTGGGGGAATCCCTTTTTGGGAGGTGACTCCACAGATATAGAAACCCCATTTTCCTAGTTTCCAACAGACCTCACGACCCTTGAAGATGAGCATTGAAKGGSCTTGCAGTTTCAAAGCCTGGCTGCTTCCTGTCTGGGGGAATCCTTTGTTGGGAGGTGACTCCACAGATATAGAAACCCCATTTTCCTAGTTTCTAACAGACCTCACGACCCTTGAAGATGAGCATTGAAGGGCCTTGCAGTTTCAAAGCCTGGCTGCTTCCTGCCTGGGGGAATCCTTTGTTGGGAGGTGACTCTACAGATATAGAAACCCCATTTTCCTTGTTTCTAACAGACCTCACGACCCTTGAAGATGAGCATTGAAGAGCCTTGCAGTTTCAAAGCCTGGCTACTTCCTGCCTGGGGGAATCCTTTGTTGGGAGGTGATTCCAGACTCACCACAGAAGAAGAAAAAAAGGATAAAAGCAGCTCCGAAGAGATGCCTCATGTTGATTGTCGCTTCAAGAAATGCGAGAACAAGGCAGGTATTCTTCGGCCCGGTTCCGGCAAAACCTGGGAGCCGCCCTTCGTTCGCCGAATGCAAACAGACACTTTGGCAATTGTTCGTTGATCGTTGTAAATCCCCCCTTGGTCATAATGTCAATATTGACGGTTCCCATTAGGATCGGTTTGTCTGCTTTCGAGGAGGAACCCCGTGCGAACTTCCTTCAAATATTGTCTTGATCGCCATTGCATTATATTTATCACTAGCTTGGGTACCCAGCATCAAATTTTAAGGTTGTGGGTGAACTACAACTCCCATCACGGCAGGTCAACCATGAGAAACTTCAGCAGTACTTGCAAGTGTGTTATGTTGGGCAAGTTTGCTCTAGATCTGCAGTTCTCAACTTGGGGGTCGCGGCCACCCGAGGGGTCGCCTGGCCATTTCAGAGGGGTCGTGAGGTTGCCTCTGAAATAGTGGCCCTCTTCTCGCCCCCTTTGAGGCCTCCGCCACTGGTGGAAGCCTTATTACTAGCTTGGGTACACAGCATCAAATGCATAAGGTTGTGGGTGAACTACAACTCCCATCACGGCAGGTCAACCCCGAGAAACTTCAGCAGTACTTACAAGTGTGTTATGTTGGGCAAGTTTGCTCTAGATCTGCGGTTCTCAACCTGGGGATCGCGGCCACCCGAGGGGTCGCCTGGCCATTTCAGAGGGGTTGCAAGGTTGCCTCCGAAATAGTGGCCCTCTTCTCGCCCCCTTCGAGGCCTCTGCTGCTGGTGGAAGCCTCGATAAATGGCGAGAGGAGTGTGGAGCAGCAGGGGCGGCTCAACCATTACTCAAAGTAAGTCTTTGCGATATATTTGATTTCGCCAGGGGTGCTCTTGAGGCGCTCTTGGGGGGAAATAGACCTTGACATATGCAAGTTGTAGTTACTGGGATGTAAAGAAAAAAAAAGGAAAAAAGGAAAAAAAAAAAAAGAAAGAAAAAAAAAAAAAGAAAAGAACAAACGAAAGCATTAATAAAAAAAAGAAGAGAAAAATAAAGATAAGGATAGAAATAGTACATGATATGCACTAGCAGAAATATTGCAGAACAACCCATTACGCAAAGTAAGCATTTGCAGTATAGTTGATTTTGCCCAGGGGTGCTCTTGAGGTGCTCTTGGGGGAAAATAGACCTTGACATATGCGAGTTGTAGTTACTGGGATATATAGTTCACCTACAATCAAAGAGCATTCTGAACTCCACCAATGATGGAATTGAACCAAATATGGCACACAGAACAGAAAATATATATCAGTGATTGGTTGGGGGGGGGCGGCGCCAAAATACTGTTTGCTTACTGTTGAAAATTACCTAGGGCCACCTCTGAGGAGCAGCGAGGATAGCCTTGACCCTTCTCTGGGCTCTTCCTCCTCCTCCTCTCCACTCCTCAAAAAGGTCTCCCTTGACTCCACGGTGCTGAACAACGACAGACCAATCTCCAGCCTTCCGTTTCTGGGCAAGGTGCTGGAGGGGGTGGTCGCCTCCCAGCTCCAGGGTTTTCTAGATGACATCAACTACCTGGACAGTCTGGTTTCAGGCCTGGCCACGGCACTGAGACGGCCTTGATCGCCTTGGTGGATGACCTCCATAGAGAGCTGGACCCCCTGTCCAGCTCTCTACGGAGGTCATCCACCAAGGCAACAGGGAGTGTGACCCTACTGGTCCTCTTGGACATCTCAGCGGCTTTCGATACCATCGATCATGGTATCCTTTTGGGTCGACTCTCTGGGATGAGTCTCGGGGGCACGGTTTTGTCGTGGCTCCGGTTCTTCCTGGAGGGACGATCCCAGATGGTGAAGCTGGGAGATGCCTGCTCGGACCCCTGGCCTTTGACCTGTGGGGTCCCGCAAGGCTCTATTTTATCTCCCATGCTTTTTAACATCTACATGAAACTGCTGGGAGAGGTCATCCGGAGTTTTGGAGTTGGGTGTCATCTCTACGCAGATGACACAGAACTCTATTACTCTTTTCCGATCAAACCCTCCAGTAGGTTGAGTTAGTCAAGTGTGGTCCAGGTCCATCATCAGTGAAGGTCACAGTTCTCTTCATTGAGGGTGAACTACAACTCTCACTATGACGAGTCAGTCCCCTCAAACCCTCCAGTAGGTTGAGTTAGTCAAGTGTGG